AAAAGTGATTAATGAAATTGATATGTGAAAAACAATTGAAATACTAGTAATACGGAGTATAATTTATAGGAAAAGTCATTGATTTTAATCCAGTTAAAAACTGATTGCAAAGAAAAACGTTAATGGAGGAAATCATCTCTAGAGAATTAATTTGGGAAGGAAAAATCATAAAATCAAATATAAAGATAGAAATAAATTGATTTCAAAGATGGGGAATGAAGAATATACGAATGAATATGGTTACATTAAGAGAATTAATTTGGGAAATTTAACTTCCCCAAAATGGAGCTATTTCCTAGGAAGAATATTAATGTGGGTGGTTTATTAAGGGTATAAATTCATTAACTGATAATAAGAGTATTTAATTTTCTTTTTTATTGAATTAATACAATACTGTAAATATCAGTATTTGGGTTTCGGATTTTGGGGCCCTGGGCGGGCGCCCCGGTTGGCCCGGGCCAAATACGACCCTGACTACCAAAGTAGTCGATAATCCTTCGCAAAAATGGGTTTGCAACGGATTAGTAAAATTTGTGGTTCCTGCAGGCAGATGCACGATCCGCATGGTGCATCCGCTGCGGAATGTACATTATGTTGTATCATAATGTACATGGTTGTAGAAAAGAACATATTGTTCAATTCTAATGTACACGAGTTATATTGAGTTTTTTTTTTTTTTTTTTTTTTTTTTTTTTTTTTTTGTAAAAAAGCAAAAAGATAAGTAGTAATTATTTTTAACCATACAATAATTTCAAATCATTTCAAACTATACTCTCTCTCTCTAGAAGTTTTCTCTCTATAAGATTTCTCTCCCAAAAAAAAAAACTGAAAACCACTTCAAGTTCATCAAACCTTAATAAAAAAATCGTCAATTTCGAACTTCTTGGTGCAAAATTGTTCAAGATGGTTGACGAAAACAAAAGATAAGTACAATTTCGGCATGCATTATAGTTGTTCAATTTGAAGTCGATTGTTAGTGTTTTTTTGCAAGTTTTTGGTGTAAATTTGTAATTTATGTAGTTTTGGTGTTGCAATGAGAAACTATATGAAGTTCTACTTGAAGTAGACCGATCAATTATTACATTTTGAAAAAAGAAAGCAAACAAATTAGCAAATTCAGAAAAAAGTTGTACATCTAAATAATACAGTACATTAAAATATTATAGAATCATATTGAACATATCTATATAGTTACAATGAAAAGAACATACTATTAAAATACGATGAACATATACCTAAAGTGAAAAAAATACTATTAAAATATAATGAACATATACCTAAAGTGAAAAAAAATACTATTAAAATATAATGAACATATACCTAGAGTAAAAAGAACATGCATGCTATTTAATAATAATGTTCTTTATCTTCATGTTCTTTGATTGTCATTAATGTACTTTTATTTGTGACATAAAATTAATTGTTTATTTTGAATTGTTCTTTAAATTATGGTGGTTGAATACAAATAATATTCATTACTTTATATTATCATGTTCTTTATTAATATTTCGGATGCTCTATAGATATATATAAAGAACATAAAGCTGAATGTTTTTTACACAATAACTATATATGTTCTTTACAAAACAACTAAATGTTCTTTACTGAACAACTATATGTTCATTTTGTCTATTTTTTTTTAAAAAAACAAAACTGGATGCACAATGCATCGTGCATCCGCCTGTAGGGAAAAAAATTCACTATTTTGGTTAGTTGCTAAACAACTCGTCGCAAATCTATGTTTGCGACTACTTTTTGGGTAGTTGCAATTTTAGCAACAGATTAGCGATGACTTTATGATTGTCATAAAGCGACTAACTTTAAGATTTTAATGACTGAATTATGTCCATTGCAAAATATTAGCGACGGATAAGCGACTATAGAGAACAAGTTTTTAAGACCACATAAGACCAAAATTTTGCAACTATGGAGACCAAAATAATCTGCGATGGATTAGCGACTACCCTTTCATACTAAGCTAGTAGTAAAAACCAAAAAAGCACCGGTTTAAATGGGCTTACAAGGCACCGGTTTTGAACCAGGGCTTATTAACATTAAAGATATCAGCTCTTCCTCAAGATCGGAGTGTTACAAAAGCATTGCTTCAAAGAACAAAACTTATATACGAAGTATATATAACATATTTTTAATTAATAAATGATTGTACAAATTACAATGTTTTCAACTTTCAAGTCCGGCAATAAAGCAAAGAAAATGCAAGCATTAAGCACAAAATGAGCCGCGGCAGCATAGCAGCAATAGAAAGTACGAGTAGGGAGCAACAAGGACGAGCAACAGTCATAGCAACAGCGATCACAATAGGAGCAACAACGAGCACAAGTGCACAACCGAAAGCTGCATCGACGAGGAATCTCACCAGTTACTTCTTCCTATTCAATCTCCTCTAAACTTTTTAATGGCAACTAGCTGTTGAAAACACAGCACAGAAGTTCTAAGAGTATTATGCCATAATCAGATCATATTCATTTAAATAATCTTACAAAGAATATATATTACGTGGTTGATAACAAATGGTACTAAGTATTATAGTCAAATTTCCCATAGCTTACATACATAGATTAGGGCAGCTAGCATCAATTCGAGAAAAAAATTATTCAATTCACTTACTTATAGAATAATGTTGAAATAATAAATAGAGAGAGATGAGAGAAGGGAAAGAATATAGAAGCTGTATTCATTTTTAAAAGTAGTACATAACAACATATATATGTAATGCAAAATATCTAAGCTAGTAAGGAACATGATCCCATGATCATAGATCATACTAAAATTAACCCACTAAACTAACTCACTACTATTATGATCGACTCCACTAACATTAGGAGTTAACTAACCACTAACAATTTGAAGCAAATATTCCAACATTGAAATGCTCAGATGTTCACCTCTCTTTTCATTTCTCCAAGAATCTTGTAAGAAATGCTTTTCAAGCTTGAGGCACAGTTGAAGTTTTTAATTAAAATAATATGAATCTTCATCAAGATGAAATCAACTTTTTTTAAAAATTAAATAAATAAAGGTCTCATAGAAGAAATACTGAAATACATCAAGAATAACCCAGACTTATTGCTTATCTCGTCTTGGCATTTGATGCACTATTAGTCTATTACATTCCAGCTAGCACTTTGCTACAGATTGAACAATTAGCTCAAACTATTTTTGGTCAGGGTTACTAGATCCGGTCAGGGGTTACTTGGTTTGGTCAGGGTTATTAAGTCAAATCAAGGGTTACTAAGTCGTTTAAGTGTTATTTAATCGGAGAAGTTACTAGGTCGGAGGGGTTACTTTTGTCATGTGTTAGATGGCCACACCGTGTGGCCAGTCACACACAATGAGGAGGTATTTTTTTTTATAAATCGTATACATTTATTAGTGTTTTTTTTAACCCTCTTTAGTTTTTAATTAATTAATTTTTGAACAAAAACAAAATTTATAATAATCTAATATCATATAACTAATATATAAAGCTAAACTTTTAGCCAGGTCACGGAATAGCGACACTTGGCATTCCAACTTTTCGCCAAGTGTCGCGCAACCTTGGATAGATTTAAATAAACTTCATATGATAAAAAAACCGTCAAGTGTCGCGCCACCTTAGATAAATTTCATAAGATAAAAAAAAATAGGTATGAATTCTATTTTCAATCAAATTAGGACAGAATTTTAGAATAAGATTATTACACTACTACAAAATAAGCAAAGGGACCCCTTTTAAGAGACCCGTTGTATAATTTAACAGGTCTTATCTATATAAAAGACCCTACATCTCATATAACGGGTCTGTAATATTAGGCACCAAATATTATGTTTTGCAATTTGAAATAACAAGGTAATATTAAAGACCCGTTATTATTCACAACGGATCTCTTAGATAAGAGACCTGTTGTTAGATACAACGGGTCTCTTAAATGTAAGGTAAAAAAATAATGTTAATACTTCGATTTCTACAGAGTTCTATTATTGGCGCCCATCTTATTTCCATTCCCTCCTAAATTCCTACCCAAAAAAACCCTTCAATTTCATCAAAAAAAAAAAACCCTCTTCAATTTTTCAATTGTTGCCCTATTGCCGAAGAAGAACATTTGATTTCATCTTTTCAATTTTTCATCAATTTTCCAAATGAACATTTGATTTCATCGATTGCATGTACTACGGCCAGTGTTATTAGTAGCTAGCGCTGCCCATCTTTGGGTTTTCTTCAAAAAAAACAAAAAAAAAGGAAGGAAAGAGCAGCGGCTCTTCCACGGCTCCTCCACAGGTCCTCCACGGCTCCACCGCAAGCTTAAAGGTTAGAATTTTGGCTCAATTGATGCATGTATGCTTTCTTAGGTTTTTGTGTATCGATTATTTATTTGTTTGTGATTTTTCTGATTTAATTTATTTAAGACTTATTGGTTTGTTTGTGGAGATGAAATATTGAAATAAAAATTTCATCTTGTTCGACATTTGTTGGCGAAATTTGCTATTATAGAAATGAAAAAGAAATTGCACCAGTAACTCGTCAATGTTGGAAAAATCTGCTATTATTTTAGTTAATGTTGGGTTGCTTATTAAAAGTTGCAAGTCTATTCATATTTCTAGTACTTGAATTTTCATATCAAGTGTTGGTTCGTGGTTTTATTTTCTGGGTTTATGATGGTTTTAGTTTCTATGCCTTATGATGTTTAATGTTCTGGGTTTTTCTCTTTAAATACTTCATAATTTTAGATTGTATGATCTTTATTGTGGTTGGGATTTCCAAATTGTTTTTTTTTTCTTTGTTTTTTTTAAATTACAAATGCACTATGTATTCATGCATGTACTCAAAATTGTGAGTTTCATTGCTTATTGGAACCTGAGTTATGCTTTTTGTTAATTTAATTATTAAAATATGAGGGAAAGGTGTAGGGAGAGGGGCAGGGGCAGGAGTATATAAAAATTAAATAAAAAATTTAGAATGGGATTAATTATTTTAGTTGTTGTTCTGTAGACAATATTAAATGGATCGAAGTTGGATAACAACAACTAAGCCAGGTGACCCAAAATATCAAGTAGGTGTAAGAGAATTTGTTAAGTTTGCAGTTAAGAATAGTGGAGGCCGCCATAAGCTACCATGCCCTTGTCACATGTGCCATAATTTCTTGTACAAGAGACCCGAAGAGATACTTAATCACTTGGAGAAATGGGAATTTGATAAAACATATACCCGTTGGATTTGGCATGGAGAATGTAGGGATGAAGCTTCGGTGAGTAACTTTTCAGATAATGCTAATGAAGGTCAACATACAACTGAGGGAGATAGATTAGAGGAAATGCTCCATGTAGTACATGAGAATTTTGATGAAGATCCCACTAAATTTGAGAGCTTATTAAGTGACTCTGAAAAGCCTTTGTATGAAAGTTGCACTAAATACACAAGGTTGTCTGCCATACTTAAGCTGTATAACTTGAAGGCGGGTCATGGTTTAAGTGATCAAAGCTTTAATATGATCCTAGAATTGGTAAAAGACATGCTTCCAGATGATAATGTCCTTCCAAGTTGTACATATGAGGCAAAAAAGACATTGAGTGTCATGGGTTTACCTTATGAAAGAATTCATGCTTGCTCTAATGATTGCATGTTGTATCGAAATGAGAATGAATCGTTAGAGAGATGCACAATTTGTAATGCCTCACGATACAAAAATGATGAAGGACGAGTGCCTGCTAAGGTATTATGGTACTTTCCAATAATACCTAGGTTTAAAAGGTTGTTTTCTAATGCCGGAGATGCTGAAAAGTTAACATGGCATGCCTATGGTCGAGAGGATGACGGAATGCATAGACATCCTGCTGATTCCCCACAATGGAGGTTTATTGATGGAGAATTTCCGGAGTTTGCCAAAGAAAAGCGTAATTTACGCCTAAGATGGCTTCAATCCATTTGGCTCATTGAGTAGCACTTATAGTACATGGCCTGTTGTTTTGATTACCTACAACTTACCTCCTGCACTTTGCATGAAAAGAAGGTATATGATGTTATCACTACTAATTTCTGGTCCAAGGCAGCCTGGTAATGATATTAATGTGTATCTGGCTCCACTAATTGATGATTTGAAGATGTTGTGGGAAACAGGTGTAGAGGTGTTTGATGCACATCAAAACGAGAATTTCAATTTAAAAGCAATGTTGTTCTGTAATATTCAAGATTTTCTAGCATATGGTAATCTATCAGGATACACTGTTCACGGGAAAACTGCTTGTCCCGTATGCATGGAGGGTTTTCCAGGAAGGTGGTTGAGTGCATCTAGGAAGAATGTTTTTGATGGGAATCGTATATTTTTGCCATGTACTCATCACTATCGCAACTTGAAAAAGGCCTTCAATGGACATCAAGAGTATAGGGTGCGCCCTAAGATACTATCTGGAGTAGAGGTGTTTCAAAAGATCAAAGATCTCAAGATCACATACGGCAAGAAGCATAAAAAACTTCTTCCTCAACAGGGATTCAAAAAGTGTTCAATACTGTGGAGCTTACCATATTGGAAATTCCTTTTTGTGAGACATTCGCTTGATGTGATGCATATTGAGAAAAATGTGTGTGATAGTGTTATTGGTACACTATTAAATATTAGTGGAAAGACCAAAGATGGGGAGAAAGCTAGAGATGACTTAAAGGAAATGGGGATTAGAGATGAACTCCATGTGGTTGAGAATAAGAATGGTCGAAAGTACTTGCCACCGGCTGCTTATACGCTCTCTAGAAAAGAAAAAATCGAGTTATGTCAAAGCTTGGCCGGGGTGAAAGTGCCAGAAGGTTATTCTTCTAACATTCGCAACCTGGTAAACATGGAAAGTTTGAAACTTGTGGGCCTTGAGTCTCATGATTGTCATGTTTTGATGCAAAATTTGTTGCCCGTAGCTATTCGTTCAATATTGCCTAAAAATGTTCGATATGCCATTACTAGACTTTGTTTTTTAATGCAATCTATAGTAAAGTTGTTGATCCCGAACATTTGAATGCTTTGGAGGAAGAAATTGTTATAAGTTTATGTCAATTAGAGATGTACTTTCCTCCATCTTTTTTTGATATCATGGTTCATTTGATTGTTCACTTGGTAAGAGAGATAAGATTTTGTGGTCCAATATATTTGAGAGTTCAATGGGCTTTTGAAAGGCAAATGAGAATATACCAAGGGTATGTGAAGAATGCTTATCGACCTGAAGGTTGTATTGCTGAGCGACTTTTCTATGAAGAAGTACTACAATATGCAGGTGACTTTGTGGTAAATTCAAAGAGAATAGGGATTCCTGCATCTCATCATAGTGGACGAATGGATGGTGTGGGAACCTTAGGTCGTAAGCAACGTGATATGTCTTATGACAATTGGCAAAAGGCACACTCATATATTCTGCATAATGAGGATGAAGTTGCACCCTATGTTGAAAGACATATGAGACACTTGAGAAAGTACAATCCAAGAGCAAGCGAAAAGGCATTAGCTGACAAACATAGCAAATCATTCATTTCTTGGTTCAAAGATGAAGTAATGAGGGAGCTCAATGACTCTTCAATAGTAATTTCAGATCGAGTCAAGAGTTTAGCATATGGACCTGACTTTAGGGCAACATACTATTCAGGATATGTTATAAATGGTTGCACTTTTTACACAAAGTTCCAAGATGAAAATAGCACTATGCAAAATAGTGGGGTCACTTTAAAGGCTCAAGCTATTCACTTTGCTAGTGCAAAAGATAAGAATCCCGTGTGTGGTACAATGAGATACTATGGAGTCATTGAAGAGATTTGTGAGTTGCATTACACCATGTTTTTTATTCCTATTTTCAAATGTCAATGGGCTGACAGCAACAACGGTGTTGAAGAAAGTAATTTGGGACTTGTTATAGTCAATCTTAACAAGGTTGGTCATAAAGAGGATCCATTTATTTTAGCAACCCAAGCTAAGCAAATTTTTTATATGACTGACCCCTTAGATAAGCGAAGGTCAGTAGTCATAACACCAAGGACTCGATACTCCATTGATGATTGTTGTTTTTATAGTGTGTTGGAGACTCCTTCTTTAACAAGAAAAGTAGTGGATGATAATGTTGATGACTCTTCAATATATGTGAGAGATGATCATAACGAGGTTACATGGGTTGAAGATAAAAAGAAGAAAAAAAATGTCAAGCGAAACCGATCTCGTAACACATGTAAATATTTTTTTTTTAAGTGCTAACTTGTTTTCATTATTGGTTTTTCCTTAGGAAGTCCTACTTAAAGTTTTGGTTTTATTATTACAATGACTTTTGCATTTAAATAACCTATTAAATTTATTTTTCTGTTTTTTTATAGGTTGATGGCTAGAAAGAAAAAACGTGTGCGCCCATCCAATTATGGTGACACACTACATTCTAAGGATTATGAGAAAATAAGGCGTGAGGATGAGAGGGGTCGTACTGTACTTGCTATGGTGGGGAAGGCGATCCAAGCTGGCACCAAGATTTGTTTCGAGTGGCATCCTATTAAAAGAATTCCAGAGAAGAATGATACTAATAATATCAAGTTTTGTCATCAAATTATTACTCGTATTAATGAATGTTTTATCAAATAATGATCATCAATATTTATTATTAATGACTTCCAAAAGAAGTCATAACCGCATAAGTTTAATTTTAAATCAACTATTAAACAGAGGTTTGAAATAATGATATTAGAGATAAACACATGTATGGTGAAATGAAGACACTTCACATGTTCATGTGAAGACTTGAAGAATTGAATATGCAACTTCAGCTTAGGAGAGTCGAAGATCAACGAATGATACTTTACTTACTACATATGAGAAGATATCCAAACATATTGGATTCATAGTTGCGGCACTAGAAGATCTCAAGTTATGTATTCATCAAGGGAAGAAAATACGCGCTGCACTCTTTTTCCCTTGACCATGGTTTTGTCCCAAATTGGGTTTTCCCGGTAAGGTTTTTAATGAGGCAGCATCTCGAGCGTATTACGAAAAATAATGTACTTTTTTTCCTTCACTATGTTTTTATCCCACAGGGTTTTTCGTAGTAAGGTTTTAATGAGGCAAAGTCTTCGATAATGGACATCCAAGGGGGAGTGTTACGAAATATTGTATGGATATCCATTATCGTCCTTTATCATTTTAGAATGCTCTAGAACTAGGGTTTATTGTTATCTAAGCAAACCCTAGTTTTATATATATATCCCTACTTTATAAAAAGTAGAAAATAACTCTTAGGAATAGTGTGCTACCAAATATACCCTTAAAAATATGTATAAAATTGTGTACAAAAATGTATATTTACTTTTTTACCCACATTAATATGTTTACTCTCATTATTATGTTTACTCTCATTAATATATTTAATTAGTTTTTTTTTCATTAAACATACCATCAATTAATACAAAGTTTTTTTTAACAAAAACTTGTAATGCCTTTTTATTTTTAAATAAAAAAATTATAATGTTTTGTACTTCATATGTTATTATTGTTATTTAAAAAGGAAAAAAAATTGTATGTACGAAGACTTTGTTTATTACTACGAGATGATTTATTTTTACACCTTCGTGGTCGCTCTTCTTATTTACAATTTTGTTGTCCTTTAATTATTACAAATATTGTTGTTGTTTATTAGCTTTTTAATTGTACATTATTTGATGGTACGCACGTAAACAACGTGGAATTTAAATGACATTCATATTAAATAATGATATTTGAGCAGATGCTATCAAGAGGTATAAATAACTTTAAAATCCTAAAATCGAAGGAAATCGATGATAGAAAAAAAAATGTATTAAATATGGAGAGAATTTAAGAGGAAAAATATAACTAAGTGGTTATTGCTTTATTATTAGATATAGATATAGATATTAGATGGTCGTAGAACATTGAACTTACATTATTAAGTTTTTAGCTACAACGAACATTTCACATATTATTACTCCGTATGACCAAGCTCACAAAAAATTCGTTTGAAGAAAAATACGTTAAGTATTATTAAATCATGCAAATCAATTAAGAGTTCTAAACTAGATTAAGATATGAAGGGATGCAAATCAATTAAATATTATTTAATAATAATTTTGAAATAACACTGTCAAAATTTTGAGGGTTTTAAAAATAATTATTGTTATGGGGTAATTTTGTACAATGGTTCACCGATAACGATAGTCAACGATCGATGCTACAAGACTGGGTCAAGATAGTTACGAGTGCTCCTTAGAATCAAGGAGAGACAGAGAGGCAATAAGAATAATTCTTCAAGGTTATTAATACAATAACGTATCTACTCTCTAAGCAAATCCAAGTTCATTGGAGACCAAGTAAAAGCAATAACCGCTACTCCCACTATTTGAGGATGTGGTTGAGGAAATCATGCAACAACCACCCAAAGTATCTCACAACCACGGTGCTGCTACATTGAAGCTCTATAAATAGGAAAGCCCTCTTCCCATGAAGAAGACACATCCTATGTACATAACCTCCTCCTAAACATACTACTCCTTTATTCCCATGCAATTTCTCCAACCTCCATCCACATGGACCTTCCACTAAAAGTGTCATTGCTCAACTACTATATTTTAATCCCAATACCACTCTCCTAAAAGACCACTACTGCAATGTATTTCCACAATACTACTTAGCCTATTACGACATATACACCCTGCCATACTAAGTACAAAGTCCATACTCCCTGTTTACTTGTAATTAGCTCCGTATATTTCTATAATTATCGTATACATTGTAATTGTAATGTTTGGCTTCATGCCCATATTATAGTGGATTGGTGGCCTCATTGCCACCCGCGGTTTTTACCCACCTTTATTGGGGTTTTCTGCGTCACCATATCATGTCTTCTCCCTCTCCCTTTATTTTTCTGTTATTTACATTCCGCATTCCATGCTCATTATTTTAATTTAGTTGATCCTTAGCCCGTATCCCACATCAAATCCTACTTGACGAAATTTAGCATAAACAATTATCATTTAAGATTTTGGTGGCTTTTTTATATTTCTACAAAACCACTATATAGGCACATAACCAAATAGTATGTATTGAAACTACCAGATCTACCACCCAAACCAAAGGTGTAACTACTTGCTAATACAACTTCTATGCAAGAGCTAACTTTTTCGCGCGCGTAGGATACCCTAGTGTATATATATATCCCCGCTATATGGAATAATATAGACTGATCTATTCTCCCTAATTTCTCCTCTTTCTCTGTAATTTCATAACAAATTGAAAAATCTGAATAATTTCGGGGTTGGCCAACTAATTAACTTGTGGACATGTGGTAATGAGCATGACTTTTTAGTTGATTCAGAATCGTTCTCTCGATTTATCACCATAAGCGATCCATTAGGCCCAATATCAATGCAAGCAATGAAATATTGACACATATATTGGCTTTGTAGCCTTTGTTCAAGTCCAAGACATTTGTTCCCATCTATTTCGTGTAAGCTAAATTTCTAATAAACCTTATTCCACAGTACATAGCTGAAATCCTACAAACTCAAACACGAAGTCACTCACTTATAATCCGGTTATAAAGAAAATACTTCCTCCGTTTTTAAATACTTGCTCTATTTCTTTTGGACACGCATGTCGATGATACTCTTTAATCACAATATCTTTAATTATCAATCAGTATTAATTCTAACAATTGAAAATTAATAATCTATTCATTAAAATGATTCCAACAAGTACCCACAATACTATATTTAAACTTATGTATAAATCACAAACATTAGTCAAAGTATGACAAATGAATAGTGTAAAAAATAGAAATAGAGCAAGTATTTAAAAACGGAGGGAGTTGTACATATAATGAGTATGATATTATATAAAACATATTCTTAGACTTCAACCATTAACTTTTGGTTGAATTGGTCCTTTAACATAATATCAAGAATCAGCGTGATACGAAGGTCACAGGTTCGAATTTCATCCACCTCTCCTTTTAAAGTAAAACTAGTGTGTGTGGCTCATGCGATGCCCCGGGTTACTAGTTTGTACATGTTGATTTCGAGTTTAAGTCTTGCTATAAACATTTTTTAGTTGTCAAACTCAATCACTACATAATGTAAACGAATAGTATAATAAAATACCAATTAAAAAAAAATCAATTAACTTATCTAAGTTAACTATAATTTTGTTGGATAAAAAAACACAATTAATAAATGACTAAGATGGTAAGACTTGTAACTTAAAACTTGTTGGTCTTGAGTTCAAGTCTTGTTAAGCAAGGTACTCGTATAAGCCTATTAAGACTAGAAGTTTCCACGCTATCTAGCCCCCAACATCAAACATCACAATTTAGTACATAAGTGAGGGTTTATGGTTGTTGGTGAGAGCAACAAATAAAACAGAAAATCTTGCGTGAACCTGGTTCAGGTTTATTCACACGTAAGTACGTAACTGGCATTATATTCATATTGACCATTATATTAAAAAATTTCATTAAAAAATTAAACTTTTATAGCTTTTATAATGTCAGAATAACTTTTATTTCAACATAATAACATTTATTTTAATATAGTGAATATTTTTTATTAATAAAATAATCATTTGGTCTCTTATGTTAATGTTCCACAACAAATTAGTGTGAACCAGATTTATTTAAGAATTTGATCAAATTAAAAGCTAATTGAGGTTCACCTACCCTCTAATTAACGGGTAAATACCCATTCAACTTCCTTTGTTCTTTCTTTATCGGCCCACCAACCCTTTTTCTATTTTTTCTGCATCTTCAACTTTCAAATCTCACTCACCCACCCACTCTTTTGCCATTTTTCTCCATCAAAATCAAATCTTTTACAAATTGGGATTATTTTCTCAGATAAAGGGGTTGTTTTTGTTTTACAATTTGTTTGATTGAAATCAAATCCAATGGATGATCAAAAAAAGGTCTTCACTTTAGCTGAGGTTTCTGAACATAGCAATCCTAAGGATTGTTGGCTTGTTATTAGCGGAAAGGTTTAATCTTTTTTTCTAATCTTGATTAAATTTCTGAACTTTTAGATAATTATATTGAATTGATCATTTATTTGTTTGAATTGGATTCATGATTTGAGTATTCGTTTTTTAAGGGTATTATAATAAGGGGTTGATCTTGAAATTGTAATTTGATTTATGTTTAGTTGATGAATTTTTATGGTTTGGCTACTCGATTTGTTATTAATTTGATATACTTCGTATTTTTTTATGACTATCATTGTTTTTAAATATATGTCAAGTGTATGGTAGTGCCGTAGTGGGTTGAATTTGAAAATTCAGTTTGATCTATGCTTTTGGTTCAGGGATCCTTAATTTAAATTTTCAAATAATTGTGAACTTATGATATGATGATTCAGGATTGTTTTGTTTGTATGCTTGTTATTGGTCGAATTGTGGGTACAATTCAATTTAGAATGTTGGCATAGTATATAGATTCAATAAAATGATTGAATATTCTACTTTTGTAAAATATTGAAAAATTGAAATAATAAAGAAGCATTTGAAATAAAGTAGATTTCTGTGTATGCATTATATTCCTGTATCTTTTCTAACATAGAATGATCAAGGGTTATATTCAGGTCGAACCGAGAATTTGAATTACATCAGGGAAATTGTTGTCATCAGTCTAGCTCTATAATCTTAGCATTCTAATTAAAATCTTTTGTCTAAATCGTCAATTATTTCATCCCTGTATTGTTATAAGTTCATCAAAAACCTCTTGATTGAACTGCCTAGTTTGTCTTGACTTTTGATAACCTATCACTTTGTATCACTTCCCTCTTATTGGGCTGTTTAAATGGTGGTGTGGATTTGTTACCAAATACTGAATGTGGAAGTTCTTTGAAAAGGGTAACAAATGGTTTTAGTAGAATGTCGAAACCCATATCATGGGGCAATAAGTGAGGTCAATCCTTGGGTTGTCTGATCTGTGAAGAGGGGGAAGGAGTAGTAATTTGTTTGGTTAAATTGTTTTGGATCATTCCCCTGTCTTGGTTATTGGCGGTCGATTTTTGTGGCAGCTATAAGAACTAAAAAGGCATAAGTTGTGCAGGGACTCTACATTAGACTCAGTAGAAGCTTTTCCTTTGAGACATCTATGTTTGACATGTGACTGTAAACATGCATCTTTTATCCTTGGGCATCGACTGTATCTTTTGAAGTTTCTAAGGTTTTTACATGTGCTGTAAAAGGTATATAATGTGACAAAGTTCTTGGAAGACCATCCTGGTGGTGATGAGGTTCTGTTGTCTGCCACAGGTTAGTCAAATAGTCCATTTATGCGCAATTTAAATTTTGAGGTTTTCATTTTTCTTGTTAGATGTCTTGGACTCTTGGTTATATAGAGCAGGAAGGCTGGAATTGGAAGCAAATGCATTGACTTTCTTAGCTCTACATGTAATAGGAATATTATGTTAATTAGAGTGGAACTATTACACAAAATCTTTATCAGTAATTTTAAGAACACGTCATCTTACTGCATGGCAGACTTCTTTAGACATTAAAAAGCTTTCTTTTAAATTGATCGACATACTCAATGAACTAAATCCTGACGAGATGGGTAGATGAGACTGAGAGCCTGTGAATAGAAGAAATTTTTGTCAATTCAGTATGAACTTCTATACTGATGCATCATTGCCTTGTGGCTTCGGATTGCTAAGAAGGAGATCATAATAATATGTGCTTGGTATGCAGGAAAAGATGCAACCGATGATTTTGAAGATGTGGGTCACAGCAGCACTGCCAGAGCTATGATGGACGAAATGTATGTTGGTGACATTGATACCGCTACCATACCTACCAAGGTCAAATACACACCACCAAAACAACCACAATACAACCATGATAAGACTCCGGAGTTCATTATCAAGATCCTTCAGTTCCTAGTCCCGCTCCTCATCTTGGGTTTCGCTGTTGCCATGCGCTTTTACACCAAGCAATCAGCTGAATAACTGTAAGGTGGCCATCTCGTGAGGAAACAAAATTGATCGTCGATAAGAATATAGTATTTATGGAGCCACTCCCTACCAATTAGAAATTTCTCAGGGCAGGGATCAGTAGGATATGTGCCTAATTTCTTCAGCTTCTTTTTGGTTATTTGGTGTTTTTACTACCTTATTTTCTTTCCCCCCCACTCCCCCCCCCCCCCCAAATTTTTTTTGTGATTTTGATATTACAAGCGATTTGTACTCCGGAATTGAACTCACTACCATTACTTTGGAATTCTAAAGTTCAAACCTTTCTAAACATTCTCTTCATATTAGATTTGTCACTGCTCTTTATTGCATCATTTTGATTTATCTTATTCATATTTCTCCGCATCGTAGCTCCCTTGGTAACAATGGTAGCCATATAAAGAAGAAATTAGTGAAAATAAACTAACAGCTTAATATACATGGAGTAGTTTAAACCTTAGTAACCCAACTATTCCTTTTTACTGGTACTAATTTTTATTTTACTACATAATTAATTTGTTAGCTAATTTTATGTGCCATAGAATATGATTCAAGTAAATATAACCTGAGGAAATATAAGATTGCATTGGATATAAGGTACAGTCCTGCTTCACTGCTTAAATATGTTCATAACAACTGTGCATATATATACCAAAAATAAGAGAGCAAAGTCAATACAGGATCTCCATTTCTTTGTAACATTCTCAAATTGAAAAATAAGTGTTATCACTAAGTTAAAAGCACAAACTCATATACAAAATTCTGAGGGCAGAGGTTGGCAAGTAACAGGCAAGAAAATGGAACTGAAACCCCATTGAAATCCTGTTTGCATTGCTCGTCGCACTATAACATTAATATGTTCTATCAGTAACCTTAGAATCTGTCCTCTGTGACTGTCTTGAAGGAGTAGGAGAACTTGATGCCCTGGAAGAACTATGTCCGAAGAAGCTTAGCTTCCCGAGCTTCTTTGAGAAAGAGCTCATAAATTTTCGAGAACCAGATTTTTGCATGGTCCTTTTCATACAAACATGATCTTTTTCTAAATCATTGAGTCTCATTCTCATACAAGCCAGCTCGAGCTTTAGCTCTCGATTCTCCCTCCTTAGTGAGGCATAGTTGTCTTTGGGAGACATTGATGCACTGAGAGCTCCACTATTGACACGCCATGAATGGAACATCGGCTTAGGTTCCTCCTCAGGAAAAGAGCAACCTAGGGCATTTCGGAGTCTTAGCTGCTCGAAATAGAGTACTTGGACTATTGACTGTAGAGGAAGCCGCTCATTTTGAGCTGCATGCGCCCCTGCTTCTTGTGAGAGCTTTTGGAAGTCAATCAGCTTGCAAAGCTTTCTCTTCTCTGCATCTGATAAACCTTGATGTGCCTGCTTATACGAAAGAAGATAAGTCATTTATCATTTCAATGCTTTACATGGACAATCCTGGTCAGGTTGATGCAGCATGCATCTAATTAGGCTATCAAGCGAGGTGAATTCAATGTACATGCCTACATGGTACTATGGCATATGGCTTTGTTAGCCTATATCTATAATGAACACCAGTATATATTAGACATAATTCAAGCATCTGAAGGCAATGATAAGAAAATTAAATTAAGTCAAATGTTCTGCATTTGTTATTTAGTATAATTTTCTTGCTATATGAACAATGCCCTTATGCAACTCCAACAGATTTGAGGGGAAAAGGTGCAGTCAAAGATGACAGTAAGTCCTACTCCGTTCATATCAGAAAACATTATTGTCCATGCATAATTTGTGATATTTACCTTCAAATAAACATCAATGGCCCTATATAGTCCATCATGAATGGTGCGCGCATGTTCTGGCAAAGCTTCAGCAATAACTAAGAACTTGTTAAGCTTGAGGTTTGCATCCGGGGCAATTTCAACAAGGTAGTTGTCCACTAACTTTGAGACTTTGAATAGGGCACCCTGTGAAGGTGACTGAGGACTTTCTGATTCAAAAACAGAAACATTTTCCAATTCTTCTTCACTATCATCTTGCTGGGAAAAGTTAACCAAGATCCTGTGAACCGTGTCCACATCAAATAGTGTGTCTCCAGCATGGCGAAATGAAGGAATCAAAAGGTCATCCAAAGTGGCCATATCTAATTGGGATCCAATTCTTCTTTCTAGATCAAGCCTGCAAGCAACAGAACAGTCTAGCAGAATAGCACTCCTAAGAAGGCCAAAGAGGAAACTAAGTGGCACGACGAGCTTCTCTACTGGCAATAGACTGACAATTGTTTCAACCACAATTCTTTCATTGCTACCAGCCCCAGCAATAACATCTGGTCTTGATTGACCAGAGACATTCCACAGGCTGGCTTTCTTTGTCAACTCTTTTTCTGCGTAGTTTATAAGTGAAGCGCCTATACTCTCTGGTCTAACCCCTCTACATTTCATTGCTGATATGACTCTCTGATACATGTCTACTCGAAGGACTGAAAGATCTTCAATCCACCAGTCACCATCACATTTCACAGCAGGTCGGCTTAAGTTGAGCCTCCCTGAGCTGCTGTACTCCAACCTTGAAAAACTTGAAGCAATTTGTTCTGTACATGCCTTAGAGGCTATAGCATCAATGCATCTGCCTACTATTTTCAGCTCATCAGCCAGGGGGAGAAGGTTTTCACATTGCTTTAGAACTTCAACACACATTTCTAGGTTCTTGCAGACTACACTGTCAAGGTATTCTTCAGCTCGAGATCCAAGACTGTCTTTCGAGTAACTTTCAGTCATTTCAAGGTAATCAGAGACACAACAGAGCTGGGCAACATTAGCTGGTGTGATCTCAAAGTTATTGCCATAACAAAACTTTGCTGCCAACTCAAATGTTTCAGCACCTCCAGGCAGGTTGAGAAGCTCAATCTTTGACTTATCAGAATCTCGACAGTCAGCTATTAACCTGCGTAATCTCCCACTACGAGAGACTAAAGGGAACTGCATATAAGACAGCAGACTATGCATCAGAATTATGCATGACTAGAACACCTAATTAGAATACAAATAAATAATCATCAGAATTATGCATGAACTGATAATTAGTCATGAGCCCAGCAAAATATATCAACTGTAAACATTGTGCCCGGAGCAAGTCTGAATCTGTAGATTTGTAGAGTTCAACTACAAATTAATTTTAATATTCTGAACGCATGGTGAAAAGGGAGGATGCATATAGGAGGAATTCCACAAACATAATTAAAGTTATTCCTTGAATTATTTGCATGAGTAGCCTGACAATTGCTGTCAGAAACTCACCTTATGAAGTGCATAAGTCCCTCCAGGAACTTCTATGATGATATCACTGGGAACATCCCTAAATATCCTACAACAGGAAAGCAAGTGAACACAGTTAGAGCTGAAAATCAAGATTATAGTTACGGAGACACCATTCGATTAAAAAGAGCATTAGTATCTAAGTATATATACACAATTGTCATGGTGATGCTGTATGTGAAAGAAAAAATGTTTAAGAATTTTTTTTTCTTCAGAGGACTTTTTTCAACATTATGAAAAAACAAAGTAGGAGTAGGAGGTATATTCACTGATGACCCGAAAAAGACAACTCTAAATACCAATAATCAATAAAGATAGATTCCGAATTATTCCTCTCTATCACCTTAACTAACATGCCTGAGAAACCATGGAGTTGTTAAAAAAATATATTAGAGCATAAAACAAAGAGAAATTTATGTGGCGAATATTAAATAATAATTGAAGAAAAGAAAAGAAAAAGAAGACAATAAAAGTGGAATGGTACAAAATAGTAGTAGAAAGCAAGCAACAAGAGATAGAAATAGAAGAAGCAAATGCTTCTTCATTTAGAGTCTTTGCCGTACAAATGAAGGAACGAAGAAATCAAGAAGAATACAATCATAAAAGGTTCCCTTAGAAAGAAGAAATTAGGAAAATGACTATTCACTTGTCTGCAAGTATGTATGAACTTGAAGAATAAGGTTCAACAACAATCAGAATTATTCGCAATTGTGAGTTTGAGACTTATTAGGGAGGGATACTAGAGCTGAAAAATACCCTCCTAAATCCAGCATTTCCATGACTGCTCAATCACCTGAATCATATCAACAGCATTTTGGCTAATCGAAAAAACTGATTAAACTTCGAAATTTGGGAAAAGCAGCAATTCTTAGGGATCACAACCAAAGTTGTACTGTAAAAAATAAAAAGTACTGACAACACTGAAATCAGTAATTCAGTACATCAGAGATAGCAGAACCGGCTAATCGATTTTCAAACACATAATTATCTTAACAAATTACATGACTTAGCTTCTAATGCCTTAAGTGTGGTGTGGACTGATGTACCTTTCAATAGATGTTTAAGGCAAGGGTGGTGTCAAATTCGGCGTATCAAATTCTTTTGACTTACAATGTGTGATGCTAGACTCTATACCAAAATTTTAGTGGTCCTGTAATTGACCAAACCAAATAAATCGAATTTCTTTCATCAACCGCCCCATTTGACCTTTACTCGAAAACAAAACATATTCATTTTTGAGTAAATCTCACTTCCAACACCATGATGTAACTACACATTTGGTTATATCTTTGAATTTTCCTTAATTTTATTGACAACTCTAAAACTAAAGCTAATAAACGTTGAAATTCCCAGAAAAATAAGAAGTTTCAAAGGGATGATCTTCAGAAAGCATAAAGAAGATGAAAGCAGGAAGAGAAAATTAACCAAAATTCATCAAAAAAAAGAAAAAATTATCAGAATTTTGAAGATATAAACAATTACCATTAAAAAACAGATTAAACCCAGAAAATTAACATGATCAGCTCAGCTGAAATTATACTCAAACATTTCAACAAAATTTACATTAAAATTTTGAAATTGAAAAAACAGAATTTTTATAGGAAAAATAGATTAACCTCATCAAAATTCAAACTTTTTGTAGCACCAAAAAAAAATCTTATTAAGAAAGGCGGTGTAGAACGAACCATTCATTGCTACGCTGTCCCGAGCTTTTAGACAAGGGAAGTTGCTGCCTATCAGCGCGGTCCATTGACAGAGAAGAAGATGAAGAATAACAAAGAAAAGAGAGAAAATGAAGGGAAAAACAGAAATGAGATTCTTGAGTTAGAAGACAGAAAAGATAGTGGCAGTGAAAGTGGGGCTAAAGAGAGTGAAATGAGGAAGAAACAGAGAAACTCAGCAAAAACAAAGACAAAGACAAAAACCCAGGTGAAGATGTTTGTTAATTCATTAAAAAAAATTCCGGTTTTTTTTTTTTCATGACGATTCATATTAGCCGACCCCAAATCATTTTGAGACTACGGCTTTGTTGTTGGGAGGGGGGGTTAGGTCGTTGGGGTGTTTCGTCGAACAGGTGGAGATCATCAAAGGCAAAGATTACTCTTGGCCATACTAATGGCCCTATAAAATGGTGGGTCATCCTTCTCATCATCAAAATGTAAACAATTTATTTCCCTAAAAAAAATTGATCAGATTGAAATATTTATGGGAAATTATAATGAAAATTAAAATGCCGTTAAAGAAGCGCAAAAAAGGGCAAAGATAAGGAAGTCAAATCTTGTGAGAAAAAAAGCGGGAAAAAAGGTAGTTAAAATGGGTTGTGGGAGTGGGGGTTTGACATTATTATATATTTATACTAACCTATAGTTTTTTTATATAATTAATTATAACCTATGTTTTTTTAATTTTGTCTTTATGGAAAGGTGAAAAAACAAAATGATGATCACATTTTTGTACCTTCACTTTTTTTTGTAAATTGACAAATTTGCCCCGTGATTAGAGGTTTTGTTTTTTTGTTTTTGAAGGATTATTAGTTTTAAATATTGGATTTTATTAATGGATTAGATAATTTAGAGTGTCTCCTTGATTTCATGCTAAGACAATGATTATTCAAATTTTTAAATTGTTAAATTAAGGAGTGATTTTAGCATTCTATAAGAAGTTTGTCATTTTTAATGGTTTGTTATAGGGTAATTAGTAATGCTCTAATAGATAATAGGAGTGCTATGATTAATTAATCATTACCCTATTTATATTCCTCTCCACTCCCATATCATGGTATAAGCTTCTTATTTTTATTTTTAATAGCAAAAATATTTCATTAATTAAAAGTCATACGACATCTACAATAAAGATTCGACGTTAACAAATACATAAGATATTGAATCAAATAGAATTTTCCTTCATAAAAACTACGATCGTCGAGTAGATCTTGCATTGCGGAGCGTCTCTCGCTTATATCGCTGAAAATTACAGCCTTGTTGGAGAGACAATCTAACGATCCTTTGTAGCTCTGAGGATGTTTTTCTTCTGATTCATCTATTCGTATTCGAAAACTTGATAACTTTTTCACCAACGAAATAATTTCACGACAATCCATTAGAACTGCTACCATGAATTCAAAACTAAGAAATTTCTCTCTCGAAAAGAGGAGATAAACCTTGTCTTTCGAAGGAGGTCGAAAAACCCTTGTCTTTCGAAGGAGATCGGAAACTCTTTCTTTCGAGGGAGAAAAGTTCCTCCCAAAAGGAGGAAGCATTATTATAAACCTAAAAAAAAACACTAAAGAAACAAGGATTGGGGCTTTCAACCGATTTAAATCGATGGAAGCCCCTTCAAAATTCAACAATGGAGGCTAGGGTTTTGGAGAGAGAAATGAGGAGTACTTAAATGTTATCTTATATAAGCTTCTTATCATCAATCAATAACTTATACTAAAGGCGAAACCAGGAATGACACTTGTCATTTCCTGGTTAAAAATTTTCCCGCTTTTTTTTTCCCTTTCTTTTTTAATTTTTTTGCCATATTTTAATAACATCTATATATTTTATAACCTATAATAATAGTCATTTCTATTTTGACAACATATTTAATCCAATATAACTCAATCAATTAAAATTTTTACATATATTCTATATATACTAGGAAACTTTTAATTATAAAAATACTAACATAGCTTTTAAAAAATAAGGTATTGGAATATATTATTTTCCAAGATTATTATAATATTATCAATATCAATTTTAAAGAAAAATCATTTTGGTAGCATACTTTTTACGGAGTATTAATCTTAAAACTATACATAACGTTTATAAGAACAAAATAATTTTGTTACAATATACTTCTTACATAACATATATTGGAAAATTAAATCTAATTGTTCTAATTCTCCGCAAACTAAAATATATTTAAAAAGTTGATTACGGAATACTAATTATCCTAAATTAAAATGAACTCAAATAATTTTCATATTATGCCGATCAAAGTGTGTCAAAAATTTAAGGACAACTGTATATGAGTTCGTATATGGGTACTAACCTAATTACCTAAGCTAATAATTTAATTTTCTTATACAAACGTTAAATCTTCTAAGTTTCTATTACTATATTTTTTTTTATACAATCCAATTCAATAATCTTTACATTTAAATTAAGTTATTTTGTTACAAATAAATTTTTTGGATAAATTATTGTTGAATTAACACCATATTTATTTATTGTAAAATTTAATTATGACCGTGCATGACACGGGAATTAACCTAGTTTACTCTAAGCATGAACTTGAATACTTGATCAAAACCTTTTTTTTTTTTTTTTACTTTTATTTTGGAAAGCTACATCTGAATTATATTGGTTTACCCGATTGAGAGTTTGGAATGGGGGTAAATTATTGATCATTTAATGCTTACTAGTTAATGATTCATATATCATATGAAGATGAGTTTTTAAAATTAAATACCGATTTATCTAACTTTTTTACTTAAGGAATTCATCTTAACTTATACTCTGTGTATCTTATACTAGTAATAGTTATAAAAAATATCTCTAAATTGATTAAAAATTATCCCAATATAGAACATCATACAATAAAATTATTGTGCACATGGGGCACACAAGAAATATTTTGTTTACCTTGATGGAAAAGTATATATGACTAATAATGATGTCCTATATATAAGAGACATACAACTTAAATCACTTATTATTGTTCTACCTATAAATTACAAAGGTTGGAGTAGTTTATTTGACATAGAATGTGTAATAGTGGAAATGTAATATCTTAGTTACAAGATTACATCACTATTATTTGCTGATAGACAAATAGAGTATGTGCTAATACAAACTTATTACATTCTTTCAAAAAAAAAAAAAAATACAAACTTATTACATACTAGAGAATATTAACATATACTCTATCATCTACTATTAAGTGTTAACATTATATCGAATGAAATGTAATAAAATAATCGTTATTGGTGTCACATACTCAAATTGTCATCCCGTGTTTATGTCTTTAATTGCAACTTATTTCAATCAAACAAGTGAACACACCTATTAAGGGTTTGTTCACGTTTACTAAACTGCACTGAACTGAACTGATTGGAACTGAACTTATTGGAGCTGAAATGTACTGAACTGAAATTAAGTAAATAAAATAAGGAAAAAAAAATCTTGCAAAATATCTTTAATTGCAATTTTTCAACCAAATAATCCAAACAACTATTAACTCGTGCAACAATACAGTAAAAATAAATGTAAAACAAGAAACAATAATCTTGCAAAATATCTTTAATTGCAAATTTTTCAACCAAACAATTGAAACAACTATATTAATCCGTGTAACAAAACAGTAAATTAATGTAAAACAAGAAACAATAATCTTGCAAAATAAGCAAAAGTTTAGGCTTTATTTGATTTTATTATTATTATTATTATTATTATTATTAGGAAATTTTGACTTTTACCACCTTCAAATAACCACTTAATTGAATTTACCACCTCCAAAAAAAAAAGATTTACTTTACCACCAACAAAATTTCCAAAAAATCGATTTTACCACCAACTAACGGATTCCGTCCACGAATCCGTTAGTAGGGCCCACCTTTTTGACGTTTCTTCTTCATCTTCCCCGATCTTCCGTGTAAACCAACCAGCAACGAAATCAACTACCTCGGTTGGTCGGAATTTCGTGTGTGACTAAGGAGGGGCCGGAATTTGGTGTGTGGGTTAGGGAGGTGGTCGGAATTAGGTGGTGGTTAGGGTTTTAGGAGTGCGAAATTTGGTGGTGGCTAGGGTTTTTAGAGTGGTCGGAATTAGAAGGGGATTTATGGGTGGTCGGGATTTGGTGGCTGCCAAAAACTAAGAAGCCAAATCACCAACAACAAGGATACAAATCGATTATCATCAACATTTCTACAAACCAAAGCAATTAATCCATTACAATACCCACAAATCGAAACCTCAAAACCAGAAAAAGAATTGGGTAAATCAAACCTTGTCAATCGTTTTTAGCATCAAGCTCAGAACCCCACTTCAATGGAGTCGATTCCAGGTGACTTCCATGGTTGAGGATAAGAAGACGACGGTCAGAGGAGAGAGAATGAGCGAGATGAAGTCTGATTAAATGGGTGCTGTTGATTGATTAAGGAATGCCAAGCCTTGGAAACGCATTTGAAGCGAAGTAGTGATTTAGTGGGTAATCGAAAAGAATGGAGGTGATTAACTCCATTGGAAGAGACGCCATTGTTGTGGCTTTCGAGAAAACAGAGCAAAAAAATAAATAAAAATTGGTGGAAAGGTGGTTGTGGCCGTGCGGTGCGGTGGTGGGGCTGGTCGTAGCGGTTAGGTGGTGGGGGCTGGTCGTAGCGGTTAGGTGGTGGGGGCTGGTCGTGGCTGGTCGGCGGTGGGGGTCCTGACGGTGGCAGCAACACCGGTTGATTAATGGGGATTTTTTTAATTTTTTTTTAAAACTTACCCAATAATATGGCGACACGTGTGCAAGGTAGGCCCCACTAACGGATTTATGGACGGAATCCGTTAGTTGGAGGTGATTGGTGGTAAAACTGATGTTTTATTTTTTTATGAGGTGGTAAAGTAAATCTTTTTTTTTTTGGAGGTGGTAAATTCGACAAAATCATTATTTGAAGGTGGTAAAAATGAAAATACCCTTATTATTATTATTTTCTACTTTTCGTATGAAAAAGGTAACAAATTTGTTGAAAAGGTCATAAAAAGGAGAAGAAAGGAGGAAAATTGTGGTTAGAGAGAGCTGTGATATGTGGAGAATATAATATACTATGATTACCAGCCACCTTCATTACTGTGGGCCCGAAATCATTATCTTGGCTGGCCCAATGGGCCCAACCCATATTAATGGAGTATAACAGATCTAAGAGGCTATTAAGAATGCCAAATTTGATGATATTCATATTCCATTAGTCAAATGTCAATAATTCATTTTTTTTTAAGTTTGTTGTATAAATATTGTCAATACTCAATCATGTCGTACGAACTCTACAAGTAAGATACGTTGAACATTATCCTAAGATAAAAGGTTAGAGCAGTCGGCTAGATCTTCAACTTTCGAGCATTTAAGTTAGATCGATATATTTATTGAGCTACTAAAATAATACTCCGTGTTTTTCTTTCATAATGTGTATTATATTTTTTTTTATCATAGTGAGAACAAGTGTATTTTCTTACATTATAGTCATTACTTATATTCATACCATACAATATAATTAAATGATGATGTATATATATATTGATGATAGTATAGGTGGGTTAGTTGCAAGGGTTGCTCCCCACCTCTTAAGTTTATCTCTAGAGTGTTTGTAATTTTAAGCTACATGATACACATCTACAATTGTGTTGTGACTATTGTGAGGCACACAATAGTCATTTAAAAAACAAAAAAATGTAAGTACAT